ATAGTACTTTGCACACTCTGAATGAAATATAATCCAAGGGGAAAAAAAGAGAAACCTTAAACTTTCAGTTCAGTCGTTCAGTCGTATCCGACTCTTTGCGACCCCATGAACCGCAGCACACCAGGCCTCCCTGTCCATCACCAACTCCCAGAGTCTACCCAAACCCATGTCCATTGAGTCTGTGATGCCATCCAACCATCTCATCCTCTGTCGTCGCCTTCTCCTCCTGCCCCCAATCTTTCCCAGCATCAGGATCTTTTCAAATGAGTCAGCTCTTCGCATCAGGTGGCCAAAGTATTGGAGTTTCAGCTTCAACCTTTAACTTAGTAGTCTTATTAGTAGTGACATTGGTATAATTCTGGAACTGTGGTGCTTTGGGCAAATTTGGGATAGTTTATATTAAAAGGAATAGTCATGGAAGAGTATTATTAAACTGAATAAAAAATGAGTCCATGTGTTTATGATGATGTTTTCTTTTTGGACAAAAAGAAAAGCTCTTTACAAAAGGACACTAATTAGTATCAACAGAATGATAAAATTAAAAACTATAGTTTTAAAGCCACACGGTAAGAATGTTAATAAGCTAGTGAGAATATAATATTTGTACAATTTAAGAATCACCTTATAGATAATTTATTCATTACAAAAGGAAGAGATACTTTGAAAATGGAGAGTTCCAGTAGTCACTACCCTGACCAAGTTTTCTTACCTCATGGGACAGCCTGACAGGCCTCCTGATGTGATGCTTTAAGAAAGGTACGACACCTGAGCAGTCTTTGCCCAAAGTGTTTGACAGTGAAAGTTACTCAGTCATGTCCGACTCTTTGTGACCCCATGGACTATACAGTCCATGGAATTCTCCAGGCTGGAATACTGGAGTGGATAGCCTATCCATTTCTCCAGTGGATCTTCCCCACCCAGGAATTGAACCGGGAGTCTATCCCTTCTCCAGATGATCTTCACCACCCAGGAATCGAACCGGGGTCTCCTGCATTGCAGGTGATTCTTTACCAGCCAAGCTACCAGAGAAGGTTTGACACCTGAGCAGTCTTTGCCAAAAATGTTTAACCTGACTCTAAATATGATACACGATAACCAGCTGCAGTGTAGAAACTGTGATTGGATATAAGCACTTTTATAAACAATTAGGGACTTCTGTGATGGTCTAGTGACAGATTTCACCTTCTAATACAAGGGGTGCAAGTTTGATACCTGATTGGGAAACCAAGATCCCACATGCCTTTGGCCAAAAAAAAAAAAAAAATCCAAAAAATGTAAAACAGAAGCAATATTGTAACAAATTCAGTAAAGACTTCAAAAAATGGTCCACATTAAAAAAAAAAAATCTTAAAAGAATTTGGGGAATTTAAGTATGGCCTAACTATTAGGCCATGTTATTAAAATTCATGTCACCTTCCTTGGGTGTGATTATGGGGCAGGGGGTAATGATGTGGGAGGATTTATTTATTCTTAAGAGATGCCTGCTAAAGTGTTTGGGTAGAGGGCTCCATGCCTACAAGCTCCTTTTCAGCAGTTCAGATGCATACATACATATAGGTGTAGTGAACAGTACAGAAATATTTCCAGTTAAGAAAAGAATATTCTTTGACACATTGTATTTTGCTTTTCTTAAGGCCAAGCTTGCAATTGTGCTGCAGTTTAGATTCAAGTAAATGTTTATTTGGTGATGAAAGTTTTTGTACCAACTTGATTACTTTCTTGGTAGATGGAGGAAGCCAGGCACAGTGTGTTCTCTGTGCTGTTGAATTACGTGTTTGCTTTATTCATTTTCATTAAATAGTTTAGTTCTGGGCAGATGCATTTCACCCCTTCTTGGTGCTGCTTGTGGGACTGTTTCCTTTAAACTTCTTGATACCTTTTCCTTGATGGCACCATGGAGGACTGCCAGCCTCGGGCATGGGGGAGTTACCTGATTTTATCTTGAATATCCATGCTCATTGAACTCTCCACTGTCTCTTCCCAGTGCCTTTAATCTTAAAAAAGTTCTCCCCCAAATTTGCAATTAAAAGCAACATGGCAGAAAGACATAACCTCTTATTTCTAGTCTAATAAAATTCCTCTGAAAGGATATTTGTCAATAGCACCTTCAATTCATTAATTACTAAGTGAAAGTTAGTGCTGGGGGTCCAGTGATGGGTAAACAGGCTCAGTTCCTACTGTCAGGGCGATACCACCCCCTTGGGGAGATGAGCAGGTTAGCATCAGGGAGCTCTTCAATACAGAGGCTTCAGTGCTGTGAAGGGAGTTGTAGAGGCCAAAACCTGACTTGAGTAGGCTGGTCATCTGAACTGCCACCACAGGATGGGTGGAGTCAGTGAAACAAGGACCACTAACCAGAGTTATGTCACAGCCTCTTGGAATGCCTTGAGAATAGTTAAAGTCAACTTTTACGTTTCCCCCCCAGAAGTGATTTTTTCAGAGCAAGGTTCTTCACTGGTTTTCCTCTTATCTACAGGAAGATTGCAAGGCATTTGCTGTTTGGCCCCCTCTGACCTTCACCACACCAGCTCCCACCCACAGTAAAGTACATGCAATTCTTTGAGGATTTCTGGGTCTGCTTTGTGGCTCTCATTTGCATCTGCTCTCCTCTGCCTGGATTAACTAACCTCTTGCTTATGGGCTGAAGTACTTATTGTCCTTTAAGTTATTACAGACTCCCATGGCATCTTGTACCATCTCCCTCACTACCCTTCATGTATAGCCATGATAGATAATCTCTTTCACACAACAGAAACCCCTCAAGGGCCCAAGGGTGGTTTTTCCCATTGTCTCATCTGTTTATAAGTGTGCCTGTGTCAAGCAGACACCCAGGAAATGTCCATCAAGAGACCAAAATGGTAAATCCCTTCATCTGGCATAGGGGTTGTCTTTGTTGCCTAGTGCCTCAGCCTTACCCAGAAGTAATTCTTCAAAATGCAGATTCAGAGACTCCACCTGAGACTCTGATTAACATAGACTGAGTGAGAAGGAGAAATGTTCCTTTTTAACCAGCGCCCACCACCCCCACCCCAGGGAATCATGAAGCAGTTTCCCGGCAACTTGGGGAGTAACTTGTAGAAATCATGGCCAGAATGTCCTGAGTAGGAGAACACATTATAGATCCTTAAGAGAGCCAAGAATAATTCCTGGAGGAGATGGTATTTTTGGTGCCCTTTAAATATTGAAATGGAGCTTTAGAAATGAATTGATGACTGAAGAGATAATCAGAGGCTCAGAGGCAAGAACATAGACTACTTGCCTGGAGTGCAAGTGTGTGAGAGACTAGACTGGGAAATGGATTCGGGTCACCTGGATGCTCAAGAGGAAATGAGGCACCTCCAGCAGAGTTTTGAGCAAAGTAAAAACTTGTGTGGGGCTTGTTAGGGTCTTTTCCTCTCTTAGGGCTACAAAATCCGCTTATATTTTTTCCGTAATGACATCTAGTTAACACTATTTATTAACTTTAAAAATGTCTACTAAAAAAAAAATTCTACATTTTTGGGGTATTTTCACATATTTAAGATACACTTTCCCTGTAGTCAAGGTTAGCAATCTTTTCTGTAGTGTGTTAACCAGTGAATATTTTAGGCTTTGTGTTCCCTGTTGTAACTATTCAGCTCTACCACTGAAGCATAAAAGTAGGTGCAGACAGCTCATGAATGAGTGAGGGTGGTGACTGTGTCCCAGTGAAACTTTACTCATAAAACCAGGTGGTTTTCCAACTCCTTGTGTAGAGAAAAGCATAGTTTAATTTGTTTCCTTTCCAGTCATCAGTGCAGAATAAAAGAGCAGACAGTCCTGTCTGTTTGGAGAGCCCAAGGAATCTGAAGTTTAGATGATTGTATGGGGGAAGAGCCTCATCTACCTCAGAATAGTGTGTACCAGCTGTGTATCTGTAAAGCGGCTCTATGTCCTTCAGCCAGAGCCAGTGTTTCTCAACCCAGTTACTATGTGACTCAGGGCAGGACGTAATGTCAGTTCAGAGGAGAGCCTGGCTGGGTTCCTATCCTACTGGCCAGGACACTGATTCAAGGCTGCTTAGAAGTGTTTTAAGAATGATCTGGATATCTGAAAGTTCCAAATCCTGCAAACCAAAGGGCTCGTTTCATATTTTACCCTCAAAATAATGTTAAAGCTAGTGATTGACTTCCTATGTTAGCCCATTAGAGCCACCTTAATACAACTCCAGTGGAAAATATTCTATTATACTCTAATAATAAATAACAAAATCTTTTGAATTTGAGTAGCACCAGTGCTCATAAAATCAATATGAATTATCTAGAATGTAATTGAATGATGGTATTCAGGATCTCTGCATTTAGTTTGACAGTGTAGGCAGGAAATTTAACAGAATCTACAAGTTTTCTGGGATCTTTAGAAATAAGGGTACAAGCGTTTTTTTGAGTATTTTTTTTTTTTATTAAGCAGAATATTTTATCTACTGTTGATTTGTAACTTACAGTTTTCTTTTTTCTCAATAGATAGATAACTAACGTAATCTTATTGCTTATCCCCAGTGATTTACGGCAGTTTTGACTTACAAAATGGAACGACAGGGGGAGATAGGTTTTTCTCCCATGATAACCAATAAGAATTAGACAGGGAGGAGGATGGTAAAATAGAAGAGGTACATTGATGTTTAATAAGGAGCTCACAAGCTCAGCAGGACAGAGACACCCAAATGCCTGCATTCCCCCCACCAAGGGGAAAGGTGGTAATGTCAGGGGCTGGTGTTGGGGTGCTGGCACTGATTACAGAGCTCCCCCAGAACCTACCCTGGGGCTCTCTGGGGAGAGAGTATTAGGAGGGGAGAACGGAGAAGCCAGCGTCCCTGGCTGCATGGCCGAGGATGTCTTTGCAGACTGGGGCTTTTTTTCCAGGTGTGCCTGCATTTACTCATGTGCTGTTTGTCTATGGAAAAGACTGTTAAGCTGTCAAATAGTGAACTACCTCGGTAGTTCCTGATGCCGTGATCATGGTTTTGGTCTCGTTTCTTTTAGGTTACCCCTGTTTCAGGCCAGTGCTTTTGCATTTCTGGCCCCTGCTCGAGCCATCCTGTCTTTAGATAAATGGAAATGTAACACCACAGGTAATTGCAGTTATTTCCACATATGTCATTGGGGTCCTTTAATGCAGGTGATAGAAGGGAGGCCTGGATGTGCTGCCCCCAGCAGTGTTAAATCCTTTCTGGAATCAGGCACAGAACACACACCCAGCAAAACAGCTTAGAACACTCCAATCTGTAGACCGTGTTTCTGTCTCTCTCTATCCACTCATTCATTCCTACCCCCAGAGCAAGTAAGGACCAGTGAAGGACGTTTGTCTGTGCTAATGAAAATTGATAAATATAGAAACAGAATAGAAAAATATTTGTGCTGTTTTTCTGCCTCTTTCTTTCAGTGGATTTTATGAACCACCAGTAGTCACTCTCTTTGCTGCATCAGCATCCTTTCTCTGAAACATCTCTGCTTTTTAAGGATCTGGCTGCTTTGGTTTTCTGCAAATGACTTTCATTCCCCCTCCTATCCTCCTCATAGTGATTGCAAAGATCCTTAAATAACCCAGTAAGTTCAGGAAGAGATCAGATAGGGGATTTGAGGAAAGCAGACAGACCTGTTGTACTCTCAAAATACTGTTAGATTTTTAGGTTCTAGGAGCAGAATTTTCTAGCTTTTATTTCCTTCCTTGCTCCTAGGAGTTACTTTGTGACCACTGATTTGATTTAGGAACAGAAAAAGGGCCTCAGTTTTATCTAGGTTTTTAAAACCTCAATCAAGCAACCTTTCTATTGGTCATTTCAATGAGCTGCTTGCAAAGGTTGGTCTTTGTATGAGACTGGGACTAGCAGTGTGTATCAGCAGTTCAGTCAGCTTCTGAGAAGCCAAGAGCTCTCGTTGGTGAATAAATTTGGTTATATTAGCAATAGGGAATCCACCTTTCAGTATGATATGCTGTACTGTTGTAACTTGAATTTTAGGGTTGGGTATTTATACAGATATACTGAGAACAGGGAGGAAATTCTTCTTAAAAGGAGTAAAATGAATATGTCCCGTCAAACATCAGTGTCACTCCAAGAAAAATTTTCTTTGTTTTTGTTTTCAAGATGTTTTGGTTGCCAATGGAACGACAGAGCTGTTACACACAGAACATATCTGGTATCCCCGAATACGCGAGGTAAATGATGAGCATTGTCTACTTACGGCTTCTTTGTGTTTCTTCTCATTTTCACTGTTGGTCATGCCCAGTATATTGCAGTTGCTTGCCCTAAGCTCTTTTTTTTCAGCTACTGATATGTTCATTTGTGTTGTGAAATTCAATTTAGATGACATCGCTATAAAATAAAGCATGTAGAAATGCTTTGTGCCAGCAGACAGTATTGTTTCTTGCCCTCTTTTCTGTCCTTCTTTCTCTTCCTCCTGTCCTATGCCGCCACAGACCTGTCTGCTTACACCCTCCAGTGTAACCAGCTGAGGGACCTGGCTCCCTTTGGAGGGAACCACAGAGTTGATAGTTTGCAAAACTATTTATTCTGGCCTCAGTGTTTGCTTGTGTTGGTTGAAGGAATGAAACCCATTTGTCTGCTTCAGTGCACTTGAATAGAATAGGGTGTGGGTGGGAGTCCTTAGATACAAAGAATGACTGACATTTTATCCAGATCTTCCAAAACCTGTAAGACCATTCACCATTAGTTCAGAATTAACACAGATATCACCATTCTGTACAACAGGAGTATTCCTTTAGGATTTTTATCAGTAACAATACCTTTTAAATGTCCTACAGGAGCTTACTTCTTAAAGTCAAGAGTCTTTGTACTGCATTGTACCTTTGGGGCTTGTTTTGAACATTGTGTCTTAAATGAGAATGATAAATTCCATCTGTCTCAGTCAGTGGGATAGGTAAGCTGATTTTGTGTCCAGCGCCCATTTCGGTAATACTCTTACAGTAGTCGGGTCATACTTAGGTTTGCTAGATCCTAATCACACCCACTGGTATCTTTAGGGTTTCCCAGGCATTTCTCAGCTATGTCCTGCCTGTTTTATAATTGCTTGATGCCTTACAGAATTATCAGTTGTGGTTGCAGGTGACATTTAGAGTGTGTGATTTATAAGCAGCTTGCTCTTATGTCTGTGTCCTCTCCTGTTCCAGATCCAGGGAGCCATCATCATGTCCTCATTGATAGAAGTGGTCATCGGTCTCCTAGGCCTGCCTGGGGCTCTGCTGAAATACATCGGGCCCCTGACCATCACACCCACGGTGGCCCTCATTGGCCTCTCCGGTTTCCAGGCAGCAGGAGAGAGAGCAGGGAAGCACTGGGGCATCGCCATGCTGTAAGTGTTCTCAGGCCACTCAGGAGTGGACAGTAAAAAAATCTCCCTTCTTCCTAACACTGAGGGGCAGCTTCTTTGAATGTTTTGAACATTTATACAGACTTTAGGAGATATGTAAGATTAGTCTGATAGTTTAAACTTTATTTGTTTCATGCCAGGGAATTATTAAAGTGCCATGCAGTCAGGGTATTCTAAAAATTGGGGGGGGCTGTAAGATTTTAAACTTTGAGAAAGGAGTAAGATGGTGGCGCCATTAACTCTTGACTTTTGGGGTCATGCCAAGTCTCATACATGGAAATTGAAATACCAGGAAGCTGAATCCTTTAAATGAGACTCAAAAATACTTCCAGATGGGCAGGAGACAGAGCTGCAGCCTGCAGTGTGTTGGCATCAAGGGTGATGTGGCTCTCAGGTCAGACAGCTCTGCACACCTGTCACAAAGCTGTCATTTCTGCCAGAGTCCTGCTGGTCAGTGCCAGTCCTTTCACACAGTACTTGACGTGAATTAAATATGTCACTTGCCCCTTTTTTCAGTAATGTCAATAAAGACATTCAGAACTTTATAAGATTGATTATTAGAGCCACAGTTTTCTGCGTACCACAGATAGAACCCACAGTCTCTGCATATCTCTATAGAGCATATCTCTGTAGAGCATATTTCTGTAGAGCATATGTAAGAGTTGACCACATCATAGGAAATGATTCTAAGACTCTAGAATTTTAGCAATCAGTCAGAGTTCTTAAAAAATTAAGTAACACAAGAGGATTTCTAATTGTTTTTGTTTTGTGAAAACTTCTGTAGTTCAATGAAAAACAGTATTTATTGAGCCTACATATCATGCTTTACATAATGCTGGTTATATATATTATAAATTAAGGTAGGTACCAGTGTTATCCCTGTGTAACAAATAAAGAAATCCAGGGACAAAGATGCAGTGTTAGTTTTTCAGGTTCACACAGTTAGCCAGGATGCTTTTCAAAACCCAAATAGTCTGACTCAAACTTAACCCATAACACTTAATTCCGCCTCTCTGTGTTAGAATATGGTTTACAGATAAAGTGAATCCTTACATAATTGTAATCCATATATCATTATAAGTTAAAGTATAAGAAAATATCCAGTGTTGTTCTTAGTTTTCTCATTTCACCAAAGGTTGTCAGTATTTCCATATCAGGATGGGTGTGTTGAAGGCATGTGAGAATGTTCACTCAGTGAAATGCAGTAAGTTCCAAAAAGGAGAAATTGTGTTTGCTGTCTTGCTGTAAACTTTAGGAACCAATAACAAAAGAATGAATAAAACCCCAAAACCACTCAGAAGCAAGAGAACACCATTATAAATAACTCAGAAAAGAACTCCAAATTTTACAATTGCCGAGAATTTAGAAAATGATGATAACAGCACTAATCACACTTATTGAACAGTCAGTTCTCAAAAAGAGTCAAATAAAAATAAAGTACTTGAAGAGCTTATCTTCAGAAATGAGAAAAACAGGATGAAAAATGAGCACAGTGAAAGCAGGGGAAAACATTGGTAGAGATACAAAAAATATGCTAGCAAAGTAATGCTTAAGATCCTTCAACCTAGTCTTTAATGGTATGTGAACTGAGAGCTTCCAAATGTACAAGCTGGATTTAGAAATGGCAGAGGAACCAGAGATCAAATTGCCAACATCCATTGGATCATAGGAAAAGCTAGAGAATTCTGGAAAATATCTGCTTCATTGACTACGCTAAAGTCTTTGACTGTGTAGATCACAACAAACTGTAGAAAATTCTTAAAGAGACAGAAATACCAGACCTCCTTACCTGCTACCTGCCTCCTGCGAAACCTGTATGCAGATCAAGAAGCAACAGTTAGAACTGGACATGGAAAAACGGACTGGTTCAAAATTGGGAAAGGAATACATCAAGGCTTATTTAAAAGCACCCTGCTTTTTAAAAAGCAGAGATGTTACTTTGCCTACAAAAGTCTGTATAGTCAAAACTATGGTTTTTCCAGTAGTCGTGTACGGATGTGGGAGCTGGACATAAAAAAAGGCTGAGTGCTGGAGAATTGATGCTTTTAAACTGTGGTGCTGGAGAAGACTCTTGAGAGTCCCTTGGACTGCAAGGAGATAAAACCAGCCAATCCTAAAGGAAATCAACCCTGAATATTATTTGGAAGGACTGATGCTGAAGCTGAAGGTCCAATACTTTGGTCACCTGATAAGAAGAGCTGACTCGTTGGAAAAGGCCCTGATGCTGGGAAAGATTGAAGGCAGGAGGCGAAGGGGATGACAGAGGATGAGATGGTTGGATGGCATCATTGACTCAGTGGACATGAGTTTGAGCAAACTCTGGGGACAAGAGTGAGGGACAAGGAGGCCTGGCATGCTGCAATCCATGGGATCACAAAGAGTCAGACACAACTGAGCAACTGAACAACAAAATAAAAAATAGGAAACAAATAGAAGTGATGCATGCCAAAGCTGGTTTTTTGGAGAGAGTGGCATACATATAGACAGACTGCTGGCAGGGCTAATTAAGGTGAGAGGGAATGCACACACAAAGCAGTGGTAAAACTTAGCTCCAGGGAGGATGAGGTAGGTCTGTGTTCCTGCCCCTAAGTTTAAATATATATACATATATATATATGTATATATAAATGCATAAATAGAATAGGTGGTTTTCCAGCTGTATTTTTGGTAAATAATCAAAACTGACCCCTTCTCCCCCAGACCTCTGGATGTTGGGGCTCCTCAGAACTTGGTCCTGGGCCTCTTCTGTCTCCATTCTCTTCCTCTGGGGTATCTCATTGAGTTTATGGCATCAGCAGACATGCATTATGCTGGTGGGCTCCACATGAACCTGTAATGTGGACCTCTAAACTCAGACTTTCAGATCGAACCTCTGACTTGCCCTGTCCATTTGCTGTTACACAAGACACCTCAAACTTTAAAGGAAGAAAACTCCAGACGTTTGACTCCCTCCTTGCCCATAAACCGGTTCCTTCTGTTGTCTTCCTCACAGTAGCACAGCCACAGGTGCAGTAGTAGCACAGGTGCTTAAGCCAGAAGCCCTGCAGTGATCCTTTGTTCTTCACTCCCTCGCTCACCATGCAGAACCTGTCATCCTCTCCTACCTCCAGAAAAAATCCCAATTCTATCCTTGGCCATTGCTACAACACTCAGCCATCACTTCCAAACTGGTCTCCGGTTTATTTTTTTCTCCCTTCCTGTGCATTGTCAGTCCTATAAAATGCTTGGTCATTATCTCTTCAAGACTTTCTCTTCTGTCCCCAATTCTTGCTGGATTCTAGAATCTTTTAGGTCTTCTTGTCATCATGATGTCTGAAACCTTGCCTGCTGCTCTTTGGTGGTCTGTTTACATCTCAGGCTTGGCACTCCGGGCTGTTTTACTTTGTAATCTTGGGTGTTCATGGGAAATGATCTTGAATTATTTCACAGATGCCTACCACCCCCGCCCCGACCCCTTCCATCCCTGTTTGTCTCTCTCTTTCTGGAACTTCTAGGATGTTGGTCCTCCCAAAGTTGTCCTCTTACTTTCCTCTTCTGTCTTTCATCTCTTTGTTTTTTCCCTCTGTTCCTAGGAATTTTCCTCAGCTTTGTCTGTGACTTCTCTTGAGTTTTTTTATTTCTGCTGTCCTGTTTTTTATTTTCCAGAGCTCTTCTTTTGTACTTGGATCTCAGCTCTGTGAAGGCAGGACCTCAGCTCTATACTAATCACCCTGGCACCACCAGTACCTGGCTCACTGTCTGTCCCAGAGCAGGCATGTTCACTAAGAGCATTGTGAATAAGTTAGGGGAGGGGCGGGAGGTGTGACCACACCCTTGACCGTGGGAAGGAAAGTCAAGGATGTTTTGGAAAGACTTTCATTCCTGAAGGATGTGCTCTACTGGTTAGGCATTGAGTATATTACATCTCCAAGGAAGAGAAAATTCCTGTATTGTTTAAACTGTACTGGAGCTTTGAAAAAGAAAGGAAACTTCATAGTTTTATCTTAATGGCAAATCCTGACAGAGCTAATGCAGAAGGGAGATCCTGGACCAACTTTTTCCTTTCCAGGGTTGTATAAAACCCTAAGGAAATACATTCAGGTAGCAACCCACTCCAGTACTCTTGCATGGAAACTCCCATGGACAGAGGAGCCTGGTAGGCTGCAGTCCATGGGGTCATGAAGAGTCAGACATGATTGAGTGACTTCACTTTCACTTTTCACTTTCGTGCATTGGAGAAGGAAATGGCAACCCACTCCAGTGTTCTTGGCTGGAGAATCCCAGGGACGAAGGAGCCTGGTAGGCTGCCATCAATGGGGTTGCACAGAATTGGACACGACTGAAGCGACTTAGCAGCAGCAGCAGCAGTAGCAGTAGCATCTAAAGCTCAGTGTCTTAAAAGGCTCAATACAGTCTCTAAGATGGAAGTGTGTAGAAAACTTTCAGAAAAGGGCCTTACTGTACAGCTCTGCACATACTTAATTTTTTTAAGTGCTGCATCTATAAGCATATCTGAAAAGAATGTTCCTTGGGACATGATTTGGGAAAATGCTGCTACAGATAATACAGTAAAAGGGCAATGTATTTATCATTTCAGGAACTCAAGGATGATTAAATATTAGAAATTTTATTTTATTAAAATCCGCTATGGTTTTTTATTTAAAAATCATGGTGATGATTTTTTTAAATTGATCAATCTATGTTCCAGCTGCAAACTTTTAGCAGTGATAAATATGATTTTTAAATGCCCCATACACCTTACTTGCCTCCTGAGAAACCTGTATGCAAGTCAAGAAGCAACATTTAAAACCAGATATGGAACAATGGATTGGTTCAAAATTGGGAAAGAAATACATCAAGGCTGTAAATTGTCACTCTGCTTATTTAACTTATATGCAGAGCACGTCATTCAAAATGCTGGGCTGGATGACTCACAAGTTGTAATCATGGTTGCCAGAGAAATATCAGCAACCTCAGATATGCAGATGATACCACTCTACTGG